CATATATTTTGCCATTGTCTATATGCACAGTGATCATTCATAGAGCCAGTACGCTTAAACTTTGACCACAAAGAATCCCGAAACTGGTACATTTGGATGAGGTCAGCTGTGATCCAATTCATATGTGCTCCTTTTACCCTCACCTTACGCTTAGATTTATTGTTAAAATGTACAGACTTTCAGCTTTTTGCAATGAACAAATAAAACAATAGCACTTAAAATAGCTCAACACAACAAATATGTCAAGTGGTTTCCCCAAACTCAACTGAAAATCCAACATATAATGACTTCTCCAATCTCAAAATTATTGAAAAATTGCAAACCTTGACATTTCTGCATTACATATTATCTTTTCCTTCCATACTTGCACAACAAACACATTTTTATTTTCATGATTCACAAGTTGATTTGATATAAAACTAAAAATTATCAATATTTATTAATTTGATTCACTATATATAGTCATTTTCATTACAGAATAGCTTTTACATTTTTTATTCTTAAAATGTATTGATTTCATGTTTTTGTAGTTTTCACTACAAAATACCTTACTATTTTTTTGAATTTTATAATATAGTAAAAACTGCAAATTGTTTTATGCACACTCAACAGAACTTTATGAGTCAGAAAATGAAAAGACAAAAGTAATTTTTACTACAACCGTGAATGCTTTTATATAGCTACTTATGAAGAACAATTCTTTACAATGAGAAATGTATCATAATGTTCAAGCTCCTTCTTACAGCTTAATTTTTTTTGAATGACTTAAATTACAATTTTACATTATACACTGATCAATCACAACCACCTGCCTAATACCATGTATGTCCCCATTGTTCTACCAAATTAGCTCTGATGCATTAAGGCATGGACTCCACAAGGCTTTTGAACATGTTCTGTGGTATCTGGCATAAAGATATTAGCAGCAGATCATTTCAGTCCGGCAAGTTGCGATATCGGGCCTCCATTTATGGGATTTGTTGTTTCAGCACATCCCACAGATACTCCGTTGGGTTGAGATTAGGGTAATTTGGAGGCCAAGGTAACACCTTGAGCTCTTTATCATGTTCCTCAGATCATCCCTGAACAATCTTTGCACTTCCATTAGGGTACACCACTACCATGAAAAGTAATGGCATGAATGGCAGGACACAAGGTTTCCCAGCAGAACATTGCCTAGACTAGAGCAATACCCTGCCTCCACCATCCTGCCTTCTTCCCACAGTGCTTCCTGCTGCCATCAATTCCCCAGGTAAACAACACACATGGATTCGCCCATCCACCTCATCTTAAGCAAAATGGGATTCATCAGAACAGGCAACCTTCTTCCATTCCTTCATGATTTGTTTCTAACGCCCATGTCCACAATGCAGGTGCTTTTGACAGTAGACAGGGTTCTTTATGGGCACTCTGACTGGTCTGCAGCTACGCAACCCCATAAACAGCAAACATTGATGCACTGTGTGTTTTGATATTTTTTGTATCATGGCCAGCATTAAGACTTCCAGCAATTTGAGCTATAGTAGCTCTTCTCTGTGATCAGATTTGATGGGTTATCCATTGCACACGAGGTGAATCATTGAACCTTGTGTGCCCGTCCTTGCACCACTTTTGGTAGGTACTAGCCATTGTATAATGGGAACACCCCATAAGACTTGCCATTTTGGATATACTCTGATTCAGTCGTCTAGCCACCACTATTTTAGTTTTAAAAAATATCTCTTTCTATCTCCTTAGAGACTTTGCCTTTTGGCAGAAAGCAGCAATATGAGTTTATATTACGGGCCTTACCTTCGATGTTTTACTTAACGTGGCAGTTGAGTTTGCAATTTAATGGCCATTGGAGTGATACTAAAACAACCTCCAGTTATTTAAATGTGTTTATGAATTTGGGATAGTGTGCATGTAACTTTGTATTTGTTTTAATCCTGAAAATTTTATCTAGAAGATTCTCACATCAAATTCCTTGGTTGGGAATATACCATCAAAGTAATACAGATTGAGCAATACCTCTTTTTGCTCTCCATCTGTGAGTACCAGTTATTTTATTACTTTTATTTATTTTTAACAGAGATCACTATATTTAGTTTTATTTCTATTTTATAACTATCACCAGCGAGCTTCTACTACCATGAATTTGAGAGAGGACTCCAAAACCCCAATAATTGTTTCACAATTTCCATCTCACCTATTGGGGATGCCCTCACTACATCTCACTCCGCAGCTGATGCGGTCCCTCTTAGGTGCACCACAGAGACTCCAGCATGCTCACCTCCAAGGAAGGGGGGCTGGCATCTTTGCTCTGTATTACAGATGTTTGATGATCCTAATAGACAAGACACTGCACAAACTGCCATTAGAGCTATTACGCCAAGGGCACAGACCATTCGAGGATTACATCACAGAGTTAAATCAATATACTACAGATACACATTGGAACAAGGTTAAACTTATCAACTTTCGATTGGGGCTGTCTTTGCCCATTTTGTTATACCTAATACCCTAGATGCATTTATGCAACAGGCAATTCAACTGGACTGATGCCGTAGAGAACAGCAACAAGAAAGAGCAGCAAACTATACTTTATTTTCCAACGACACTTCCTCTGTTTATTCCTTTATTTCTTCCTCCACAACATTCTCCTCAATGCCAATGGAGGAACCAATGCAAGTAAGCCTAGTTCAAGGAAGAATACCCCCCACTGAACTACATAGAAGAAGAAGAGAGAAAATGTCTCTCAAATGTTTATTTGTCCTCATCATATGGTGAAAACCTGCCCTGAAAAATCTAAGATCACCAAGGGTGAGCGCATTTACAATGTCACTATGACATCATTCTTGATCACCACTACAATTCCTTTATCTTTCTTTTTCCTTGCAGTGGAATGAAAACATGAATGTCAAGCTTTTATTGACTCCAGTGGCAGCGGTTGTTTCTTGCACATAGTCCTTGCACATTTATTATCCATCTCAAAATTCTTGCAACCAGATCAACTTACCAAACAGACCAAACTTGTTATAGTAAAAATAAGAAAACACACATAGACTTTATCACTCAATCTGGTTCCCTCTCTTTTGACTTCTGTCAACTTAGGAATTCCATGGCTATGAGCACCTGATCCTACTAGTATCTGGTCCAATGCTGCTTTGATATTCTCTTCACCTCGGGGTTCTCAACTCTTATTGATGAGCAAAACAGATAAAAGCTTCATATATTTCATATTGGAAGTTAACAAAAGGGGTCCAGAAATAATCCTTCCTGAAGCATACAATGAATATTGAGACATATTTGATTAAAAAAAGGTGTGGAGACATTACCTCCCCATAGAAAATACGATTGCCCAATTTACTTCTTGCTAGGAGCACTCATTCTTTATCTAAAAATGAAACACCTCAACCTAAAAGAAATATACAAGAAAACCTGAAAAAAATGTGTTTATCTGATCTTCTACCTCCCCTGCCAGATCTGATATATTCTTTGTAGAAAAAAAGGATGTCAGTCTAAGATTTAAGAGGTGCTTACAAGCTGTTTAAAGTTTGAGAAAACAATGTTCCACTCGTACTATGGCCACTATGAGTATTTTGTCATGCCTTATTGACTTTGTAATTCTTCTGCTTCCTCATTAATATATTTCATGATCTCCTTGGTCAATATGTACTAATTGTTTTGTATGACATATTGATCTTCTCTACAGACCTACATTCTCACTGTCTCCACATGATTGCACTGTTAACATTTTTAGGAAATACAATCTACACGCTGAAATAGAAAAATGTATCCTCAAAACATGTGTGAAATTTTTGGGTCTTATCATCAAAACAGGCAAGGTGGAGATGAAATCTAGAAAAGTAAATGCCATTCTTACATGGCCCACATCCCCGAACAAGAAACTAATTTAATAGTTAGTGGAATTGGCAATTTTTATCAGACGTTCATCATTAACTTTTCAAAAGTTATCCAACTTCTAACACACCTTACAAAGAAGGATGTGAAATGCAGTTGGTAATGGCACAAAAGGAATTTGATAAAACTGGAACAATTATTTAGTACCTCACCATAATGGAGAAACCAACAGGAAGGAGCGAAACACCCCATAAATTTATACTTACCATTAAAGTCTTGAACACTTCCAAACCACCAAACGTCTCAATACTCATCAAGTAAGCAAGATCGCCTATCTCTATTCCCATGTTTTGGGTTTTTGAGATATTTAGCTTATAGTAAGATTGTGAGCTGTAGCGTTAAAGTTCTTTTTGAAGATTTGGAAGGGAAATGATTGGTTGAGATGAGGTCAGTAGGACGTCGTCAGCAAATAAGTTGTTTTCCTTATCCCCTATCAATATGCCATGTATATTAGTGTTACGTCTGATACCTTCTGCTAGTGGTTTTAGGGCTAGTACATAAAGGAGCGGTGAGAGAGGGGATTCCTGTCTTGTAACATTTGTTATAGTGAATGGGTCTGACAGGAACCCTGAGGTTGTCACTGAAGCATTTAGAGAGCTGTATAAAGTGTTGATAGCTGTCAGATATTCTTGTGGAAAGTCAAATTTTTTAAGAACTGCTTTTAGAAATTGCCAATTCAGTCTGTCAAACACTTTTTCTGCATCTAGTGAGATTAACAGACCTTCTGGTTCGTCTGTGTGTAATGTGTGTAGGATGTCTATAGCCTTTCTTGTGTTGTCTGGTCCCTGGCACCCCTCTACAAATCCTGCCTTGTTGTCTGATACTATCTATAGTAAAATTGATTTGAGTCAAGTACCTAAGATTTTGGCAAATAATTTGGAATCCGAGTTTAAAAGCGATATTGGGCGACAGTCAGTAGGAGGTTTTCCCGGTTTAGGGAGTGTAATCACTCTTGCAGCTAAAAACAGGGGGAAATCCCTGTTTGTGTCGCATGGTTAAAGGTGTTGGTTAGGTGTGTGGCCAAAATGTGTTTAAATTTCACATAGTATTTGTTAGTATATCGGTCAGGGCCAGGGGTTTTACCTTTGGGTAAGGCATTAATGCAGTCTAGTATTTCGTCCTCGGTAATGGGAGCGGCTAGTGTTTGGTTCTGAGTGGCTGTTAGTGTCGGTAAAGAGGTAATCCCGTATACCCGTGGTAGTTGGGAACCTAGTTTCTGAATCGTCCTTGTAGAGTTGGCTATAGTAATCAGCAAATTCTGTGAAGATCTGTTTGGGAAGTAGTAATTTGTGGCCCGTCTTATTTATGTGGACGATGCGTGACTGTGTTTGTCTTCCTTTTAGTCATTGAGCTGATATTTACTCGCTTTATTGCCCTGTATGTATAAAGTGGTCTTCAGTCGTTTCAGCATATAGCTGAATTTAGGTTGTTGTACCTCTTTTATTTTGGTTTGCAGTGCTTATTTGATTTTTAGTTTCTAGGGAGGTTTATTTTTTGCTAAGTTAAAGCTTCCATTGATTTAGAGTGTGTGTATCTTGTCTTTTGTAATGCTCTGCTTATCAAGGTACCCCTCACTACTGCTTTGTGTGCCAGCCAGAACATATGCGGGTTGTGGTCAGACTTTTCGTTTGTTTCAATTCTGTCTCTACTTGAGCGCAAAAGTTTGAGTTGGTTAGCAAGCTCTCATATATTAGCACCTATTTGTCAATGTTAAGGTAACAGTTGTGTGGGCTGACCACTCTGTTGGATTGATGTCACAGTCGAGCACTTAATGTGGAGTTGTGTATGAGATAGCCATCAATTCTGGAGTAGGAGTTTTGCGTGAATTCCCTGTCACCCGGGTGTAATGCCATAGGATTTCAGCAGTGTCTTAAGGGTTTGCATTGTTTTTTGATCGTGCCATAGTTCGGGAATGAGGGGGGCCTGGAGGATTCTAATAATGGGTTGAAGATGTGATTGAAGTACCCACAAACGATGAGAGTGCTGTTTCTCAGTTTTTCAGCTTTTCAGCAGAGGACACTGTGTAGGAGGTTCCTTTGATTGATATTTGGGGAATAAACATTAACTATAGTGTAGTCTAGATTGTGCATTGCCAAATAGCGTACTTCCCTTCAGACTCTATGGTTTGGCCATGTGAGATAACCCGAGCAGTATTGATTCTCCCTTAGATTTATGTGGTGATGTGGCATGAAGTTGGTGGGGTTATAGGTATAATCCCAGCTGTGGGTGTACGTTTGTGAGGAAATGTATCTCCTGAAGGCATATAATATCAGCTTGTTCTTTTTTTAATTTCTTTACATAGGACATGTCTTTTAAAGGGGATGTTTAGTCCCTGTACATTATGGGAGTATACTTTCATAACTGGTTGTGGTGTCTACAGTGTGTGTTGGCCTACACCTGTTTTTCTTGTGGTTTGATTGTGGGTCTGTTGTGGGTATTCCCTCTCCCAGGGCTCAAGCTCATATATAGTTGTGGTATGACCAGAAAGGGCAATGAACTTCCGATACCCTGTATGGAATATTAAGTGTTTGGTGGATGTGTCAGTGTCTCTACGGCACGTTTCATTTGCATTAGTACACAAGCATTCATGTACAAAAAGACTGTAACAACAATATAAACAACATGACCACCTTAGCATTCCTGCTATTATTCAGTCCCGCTAGCTATATCTGCGATCTACAATCTTTGCGGGAAAGGAGGAATCACGTCAGTCCTGCAGGCCACTGAGTGTGAATATGTCACTCCTATCTCCGGCTCTTATGTCTGACCCCTGTACTAATAAAACTTACAATGGTAACATCATGAGGAAAGTGAGTGTATGAACCCTTTAACCCATGGTTGAGTGTATTCGTGGTGTTCCATTAAGTGGTAATACATCCGCTGGCTATTTTGCAAGCCCGCAAGGTGAAGATATCAGCTAATGTCCGGGGGGGGAGGAGAGGGAAGCTTCATAGCGTATTTTTTTTTTCACTTAACTAGTTATATGTAGGTTCTAGGTATTCGGATTAAGAGCTTTCGTGGTGTACTGCCTGGTCACCTTTTAGTCAGCTGCGTGTCCCGAGTCAGGTGAGTCAGCGTATGTTTGTATGGAGGATTTAAGTCTCCCTTAAGTCGCATAACTCCCTACAGGGACCTGATACTCTTGTACACATTAGGTCACATTAGTAATGATTGCAGCATATAAAACCTATAAATTAGGTAAATAAATTAAAACTGTGTTAACAACACATTATCCTTACCTGGTGCTGTATCACTGCTTTGCGTTGCCCCCACTTGGCCTGTGGAAGTAAGTGGCCGAATTCTTCAAATCAAAGTGTATTCATTGGTGTGTGAAAAGTCTATGACTGTTTGAATCAATCAGCTCTCCTGGGTCAAAATGGATCTTGTGCCTCTGTCTTCCACATGTATTTTAATTTTTGGTGAGGAAGGTTATTTACGCCGTGTTCCTGGGTATTTCGGGCATCGGATGGTCCTCCATTCTTGCAGGATTTCTGCTTCTCTTTTGGGACTGTCTCCCAAAGCTGATGTAATGAAGTCCCAGTGTTGGAGTAGCTGGGTGCCCTCTGATACATCGGAAACCGCTTGGGTTTTGCCTTCTATGGTATTTAGTAGCTTTGCAGGGAAGCCCCAGCAGTAAGGAACCCTTCTGTTTCACAGCTCAGAGGTCACCTCGCAGAATGCGTAGGGTCTCCGCTGACAGGTCTATAAATATCTGAATGGCACTGTAAAGCTCCGGTAAAACTTGTTGAGTTCTGTTGGATCTGAGGATAACCTCTTTAACGTGGAAGTAGTGAATTTTTGCCAGCACATCTCTCAGGCTGGAGGTAGAGAGGTGTTTCAGTTTAGCCACACAGTGTGCCCTATACATTAGTAGCATGGATAGTTGTATACCTGGGGCCAGGGCCTGGAATAGCCCGGTCAGAAAAGCAGTAAGGTCCACCAGTTGTACCTCTTCCCGGATCACCCAAAAGCTGAGGTTCTGTCGGCAGGATCTATCTTCCAGGTCCATTGATTTTAATTCTTGTCTCTCTGACTTAGACAGATCCCTGTCATCACTGCTTCTGTCGCCATCTTGAGCTTCTAGCGTTGCAGTTCTGGGGCTTGTGGGTTTTTCTTCAAAAAAGGAGTGTTTATCTTTTGCATCTACCATTTTTCATGCCCCCCATTGTGACATTGTGGAGTCACCCATTGTTGTGGTATGTTTAAAACTTCTTTGCCTCTATATTTTATCGCTGTATTAGCCGTCGGCCTGGGAGCTCAGACTCTATGCGACCATTCAGTCCGAGTGCAGGCTACGCACCCTATAGCATATGGTTTTAATCATTGTTTGGACAGAATGGTTATTATGTCACACCTGTTTTCTATAATGCCCACATATTTTAAAGAATCAAATAACCTTATCCTTATGTGTACACCTCCTAATTAACTGAATTCTTAGACATATAAAAGCTTTTACAATTAGATATTCACTGCCAATACCTAAAATCACAATGGGTATTATCTTTAAGTGGATACACATTGCTGTATTGATTCAGATGTGTGCAAAGACTTTATGTTATTTTAAGATGGCTTGTATGTTTGAAAGCAAGACAAACTGATTGTTGGAACTCTGATGTGAAAAAAAAAAAAATATCTCAGGATCAACTGATTTCCTTCACACCTATGATAATCAAGAATCCAAACAATATGTAACTAAACTACAGAAACATAATTTTGTTGGTCTCATGTCTCACATCCTACAAGAAATCCAGAATACTGCATCTTCCAAGAGACTTCCAACGTCATCTGAAGGCTATCCTTTGTCACATGGAAAGATTTAGGTACCAGAATACACTTGTCTCAAAGTATTATACCACTGTCATGATACTTCCTTGGCTGGTCACATTGGGCAAAGAATGACTCTTAAAAGCATCAGATGACAATTTTGGTGACCTTCTCTACAACAAGATGTAAAAAATTATGTAAATTCCTGCATCACTTGTGCCAATGCAAAAATGAATACGCCCAGAACAGCTGGGTTGTTACAAGCTTTGCATCCAGACCTTGGAGTCATCTTACAGTTGATGTCATTGTAGACTTGCTTATGTCACAAGTAAACAATACTGTCATGGTTGTAGTGAATTGTCTACCCAAAATGGCACACTTTGTCCCTATCAAAGGGCTTACTGCAGCCAAACAAACTGTTTCCCATTTCCTTGGCAACATTTTTAGACTACATGGAATAACCAAATAACCATTCTCTCAGATAGAGAAACACAGTTCTTCCCATTTCTGGAAAGCATTTTCCATTTCCTCAAAATTTCAGTAGACCTATCAACGGCTTTTCATCCCCAACCTAATAGACAAACCAAAAGGATGAACCAAACACTGGAAACATGTCTCTATGGCTATTGTACCCATTCACAATCTGATTGTAAAGACTTACTCTCTACATACAAGTTTGCTTACAACTCCAAACAACATGATTCCACACATACCCTTCCAGGGAGTCATTTTCACACCTACTCCAGATGTCACTAATATGTATTTACAACAGTTGACTCAAGATTTCCAACTAGCTCAACAAACTTTGCAAGACAGTCAACAAAAGAGATACGCTGATTTCAAAATGCGATTTCTACTTATGCACAAAAATCAACTTGTCAGGTTATCTACAAAGCATCTTAAACTGTCTTGTCCCAAGAAACAATATGTTAATTTTACCTTTCCGTATTTCCAAGCTTGTTTTGCCTGTTGTAGTAAGAATACACCTGCCATGTCAATATTGTATACATCATACATTCCATGTTTCTCTGATATTACCTATTTGGTACTTTGCTTTTGGCTTGCTACTGCTACCTAAATAAACAGGGGCCACATCTACACACATCTGCCATCAGAAGCTATATACCGCCAAAGAAATCCTCCATCATAAGATCAAGACTGCAAGTATACCCATTGTAGCACCCAGGCACATATATATGGAGCTAATTATAAGCTTCAAAATACTGTAAGTGTATTTATTGTATGTACTTCACTGATACCATCAATATACTAAACTATATTTTGTTTACTGTCCTCTATTTTTCATATTGATTCACTCTGATCCGAATATGAGGACATCGATATTGTACAGTATCCATGCAAAACCAGAAAGAAAAGACTCTGGTTAGGGTTGTTTCAGCTGCCTACCTACCACCAACAAGTGCTAGGAATCTTATATGCTATATCATTACAAATAAGCATATGGTTAGAAAAATGGTAGTTTGAATAAACAAATATATCTTGAGCAAATTTAATGTTATATAAATTCTTCTAACATAGTGCCTTCTTTACATCTTTAAGTAAAACTGAAGTAAAAGTTTTGAGCAAAAATCATCTACGCATGGAAAATGTCAGCACCAACAAACATGTTGGCCTAGAGGTTGTTGTTGGTGTTATTATCTAGCAACGTCTTCAAGAAAAAAGGAGGGTTGAGTGGATATACATGAATAGGGTTCAGTTCCATTCACACCAATAATTCCATCTATACATCCATCCATCCACTTTAATTACCTCCAGCCATTGATCCACATCCATTATCCCTAGTCACATATCTTTTAACCCAGCCTGTTATAAAGAAACATCCACATCCATTAAACCATAGCTGTATATCTACAGCCATTGCCACATCCATTCACATTCTTAAGTCTAGTCATCCAACTACACCCATTGATCCGAGTCAATCTTCAATACCTATTAGCCCTATCCATCTATATCTATTAATCCCTGTAACCTTCAACATCTATCACCCACAGCCACTTTTAAAAAGTCTGTCAAAATGTTGGCAGACTCCATCTACTAGTGCCTCAGCTTCTCATTTCCTTTCCTGCTGCTCCCACTATTGCAACTTAAAGCCTCCTTTTTTTCCAGACATGAGTGAATCTCTATTGACTGCTGTCAAGTGCTATCATTTCTATAATATCAAGCCAAGAAAATGAACAGATCATCCAAATAATTCATGAGTAAAGTGTAAGCAAATATGCAAGTAAAATGTCAAAGTTTTCCAAGGAGTCTGCTATTTGATGTAAATCACAAGTAAACTACTCAAGGTATTAACTACAAGAAGAAACTAGCAAACCGATATTTAAATATAGCTCATGGCATTCATAAAGCATGCAAATGGAAACTGCTCAATTTTAACTACAGTATGTAGTAGGACTAATGGTTATCACAGAGACAACCAAACATTGATGCAATTGAATATTTATATTGAGAGGCAGGGGGTACTCAGCACATTTGGATTTTATTGCTCAGATCTCTTGAGGTTATAAACCGTTATAGATGGGATTAGTATGGGTGTTTTGACAGTCTTTATTGAGATCAGTGTAGATGATGATGACTCAACTTTAAGAGCTTGGAAGAATACCTACAGCTGGAGCTAGTTTAAAAAATGTTAGGCACCATACACATCAGTGAATTTTTTTATAAGAGGAAAATTGTCACACATTAATTCTTTTTTTTTCTTTTTTTTCTTATAAATATTTTATTGTTTTCTTGTATATTTAATTTACTTAAACAAACAAAATATGCATTCACATACATAGAAGAGCATATCATAATCGTAGTATTGTCTCGTTTGCAATTTTTTCTTAGAAACGTACTTAAAATTATTACATAATTACACGCAGGCAATGAGTAGTTTTGGGGTCCCTGTCTCTTAAATTAAATGCTAACTAGCAAGTTAATAAAGCATGTGTACATGTACCCAATTATATTTGATGTACTCAAAGACATTGGCCTATCTATTCGTATGTACACTATATATTTTTGAACTCAGGTTTTGCCTACCTATCCTAACTTAATTTTATCTATCCAAAACTCACTGAAATATTTTTCATTAGATCTGTTCCTTGTGATTTATATAGTTGTGCTTCCATCTTTAGTTGAAAATTAACTTGGGATAGCACCTTATCTTAAGAGAAGGGTGTGGCATTTCAGTTTTGTGCAATATTTATCTTAACTGCTACCATGAAATGAATTTATATATATGCTTCATTGTGTTGTAATGATTTAATATTCAAGTGCAGAATAGCATTCTCCGGTGACTTGGGAATAGGCTTATTTATTAAATTCTCTATTATCTCAAAGGTCTTAGACCACAATTCCATCACTATATCACACTCCCACCAAATATGAACAAACAAGGCAAGTCTCCTATTACATCTCCAACAAATTGGCGAACTTGAGTTGAACATTCTAGCCAATCTGGTTAGTACAAGATACCATCTGTTCAATACTTTGAATAAAGTTTCGAGTAAGTTCAAGCAGTGAATAAATTTGCATGCTCTAGGTAATACTACACACCACTCCTCCTTGTTAATTTTTTCCACTTTTGACATGCCATAATAGCTAAAGGTGCTTCTAATTTTAATAAACCGTTAGTAGCCACTGAAGCTACTCTATGTACTTTTTCATTTTTAAGCAATGCAAAGCAATGCATTTTAGTGCCTTCATGGGGATGACGTGTAATATTTTGATTTAAATAATTTTCTACTCTTAAATAAGTGAAAAGTTTATTTGACAACTGGAATTCTTGAATCAGTTGTGGGAAGGGTTTAATTGTTTCATTATCCATTAATTGATCTATTCGAGTAATATCTTTTTGAATCCACCTCTTTAAATTTAAATTTTTTACATAACATGAAATCAGTTCTACTTTAAGATTTGTAGGTATTTTTTTTCTATATCACATTTCTTTTTTATGACCTTCCATCCTTCCAGTATTGATTCCAATTATTTATATTAATTATTTTTTCACAAGCAACCTATATGAGTCTAATATTTGCTAATTATTTTTTATTATTTTTTTGCATTATTATATAAATTAGTAAATATATTTGGATTATGCTCTTTCATAGCTTTCTAAGATATGTTTCAGATGATTATTCACCATGTGGTTGCATCCTGAGGTCATAAAATCCACCCCCTTACCCAGTGACCACAGCTGGATTACTCAATTTCCTCATCACAGACTTTTTTTTTTGTTTGTATTACAATCTTTTTATTTTCATACTTTCATTTTTCAAGAACAAGGAAAAGAGAGAGACTTAACAGGTTTCAAATGTACAAACAAGTAGTATAGTCCGCATTTGTTTAACAAGTAACATTCATAATCCATGAAAATGCATA